TATCCCCCCCCCCCCCTCCCCCACTCCCCATCTGATATACGAGAACTTACTGTTTCTACGTATAACTTCAGGAATAAACGGAAAACCGGTCAGGAAATTTCTCAGCGATGCGAATGAAACTATTGTCGTAGACCGTTGTGTCGCTCATTACTGCAGTCGATTATGATTGCATGTAAAGCTATTGTCTACGACACGCTCACTTCAAATTGATTAAGATGGATTCTCATTCTTTTCAGACGTGTTGTATTCACTCTCATAGCTGTTACATGTGAATATCGTTCTCTTGATGAGTTCCTCTCATTCACTTCGTCTCATTTCACTTCACAGCTCGAATACACTATTTACAGGATGTGTTGACGAGTGTTGACAGTCGAACTCAACAATACATCAATCGAATATTACTGCTCAACAGCGTTCGACAGTCAAATATTCACTTATAGAGTGTATTTGATAGAATGAGAATTTGATTTTAATTGTTGAGAGAAATGAATGAGAAATTAGCGAAAGAGAACATTTTTGGTGGTAAAAGTTATGAGAGGGATTGTAGCAGCAAGGAAAAGAATGAAAACCCTGTTAGGCCCGGACGAGCTAATGATACTCAGAAAATAGGAAAATGAAGAGTGGTACTAATTTCCCGTTCCTCTCCATTATTTCTCGACACCTCCAAATTACCCTAAATATGTAATTTCACCCCGTATGAGAACCACCCCTCTTAGTTATCATTACTAAACTCTACAATCCAATGGATTGCACAGATTTTACTGATCGTTAGGAATGGTACCAACTCATCGGAGTAGTTCTCCAGAAGTCGCTGATTATGAACGATAATACCTGCCAACCGGGTAGAGTTGGTTGCATGAATGCGAGAGTTGTTTTCCCTGAACCATCTGGACCAGCCAAACCAATGAAATGCTCAGATTTGTCAGGAGCTGGAAACAAAAGTTAGGATTATATTCACGCTCTTGGGAAATGGAACATGGAAAGTGTCGAAGCTCTGGGCAATGTGAGTTTTGAAATTGAGGTTTTCTAGAGTTGAAAGACCAAAAGGTGACTTGATGTTAGCTTAAATGATCGATGCCATGTATACAGACCTGAAAGTGAAGATTGGATGAGGAAGTTATTCTGCAGGAATCGCTGATTTCAGCGAATATATGTATTTTCATAGACTAGGAAGCTCAACTGTCCCGGTAGGTGGAACCAACCTGTAATCGCAATTATGGTCATACGCTCGGCTAGCCACCTTTCTCTTTTACCGACAAGAGAAGCCATTCGCAATGCAGCCTCTGTTTTGCAGAGAATCGCATCCTCGCAACCACAACCAACTGACCAAATTTCACGTTTCTCAACGTCCATTGCCATAAATTTTGCGTATGGTGCAAATGGCCACTAAACTACTTCACAAATAAAAAATTGTCGATTGACTCGCGAAGAAATTCTTACTATTGATACGTCCATGAGCACCTAGATTAAACATTGCCTGCTAGC